CCCTATGACTTTGTGGAAGGTGTGACTTAAGAAGTGTGAACCAGAATGTTTGGTGGAAGAAATTTCCAAGCAGCAAAGCATTAAGGAAGCTGCATAGCTACTTGTAACAGCCTATGCTGAGTTATGGTTGCAAAGACATTACATAAAGCCAGATTTTAAAAGGGAAACGGAGCGTAAATATTTGGAAAATTTGCAGCCTGGCCATGTGGTAGAGAAGCAGAGAGCACGAGAAAAATGCAAGGGTGCAGCAGATAGACTGATTGTTAAAGACATTAGCATGGCTATGTGGCAGCTAATAGCCAAGACAGGCATCTGTGAAAAACCCACTACCAAGATTATACTCAATGGGCTGTCTGTTCTCACAATTTCTATTCACTATTGTACTGGAGGTTCTAGTCCGGACAATTAGGCAAGAAAAAGAAATAAAAAGCATCCCAATTGGAAAAGAAGAAAACTATCACTATTTGCAGATAACATAACTGTAGAAAATCCTAAGGAATCCACTAAAAAAGTATTGGAACTAAAACAGGTTCAGTGCAGTTGCAGGATACAAGATCAATATACAAAAATCGGTTGTATTTACATACACTAATAATGACCATTCTAAAAAATGAAATTAAGTTTTATTTAAAATAGTGTCATAAGAATAACATATTTATGTATATATTTAACAAGTGTAAGACTTGTACCCTAAAAACCAAAAACACTGCTGAAAGAAACTGAAGATCTAAATAAATGGAAAAACACTTCATGTTCATGAATTGCAGGTCTCAATATTGTTAAGATAGCAACATTTCCCAAACTGATCTATAGGAAAAAAAAAAATCCCTATCAAAATGCCAGCTGGCTTCTTTGTAGAAACTGACAAGTTGATTCTAAGCTTTATGTGGAAATTCAAGGGATCCTGAACAGCCAAAACAATCTTGAAAGAGAACAAAGTGGGAGGACTCATACTTCCTGATTTCAAAACTTAATGCAAAGCTACAATCATCAGACTATGGTTCGGATATAAGGATAGACATATAAATAAATCAATGGAATAGAATTGAGAGCCCAGAGCAAATCCCACACATCTACGGTCAACAGATTTTCAGCAAGGGTGCCACTACCATTCAGTGGGGAAAAACAGTCTTTTCAACAAATGGTGCTGTAAGAACTGGACATCCACATACAAAAGAATAAAGTTGGACACTTACCTCACACCATGCAAAAAGATTAACTAAAGATGAATCAGAGACCTAAAGGAGCTAAAACTATAAAATTTTTAGAAGAAAACATCAGAGTAAATCTTTATGACCAAGAGACAAGAGAAAGAATAGATAATAGAATGCACCCAAATTTAAGACTTTTGTGCTGACAACAATAAAGAAAATGAAAAGACAACTCTTGGAATGAGAAAAAAATATTTGCAAATGATATATCTGATAAGGGAAATATATCCAGAATATATAAAGAACTCTTACAACTTAACAATAAAAAGCCAACCCAATTCAAAGATGGGCACAGGACTTGAACATACATTTCTCTAAAAAGGACATAGACGTGGCCAGTAAACACCCCCAAAGATGCTCAACATCATTAGCCATCAGAGAAATGCAAATCAAAACCAACCACAATGAAAAAACACTTCACACCCATTAGGATGGCTATAATCAAAACACAGATAATAAGATGTATTGGTGAGGATGTAGAGAAACTGGAACTCTCAAACATTGCTGGTGGGATTGTAAAATGCTATAGCTGTTGTGGAAAACAGTTTGGTAATTCCTCAAAATGTTAAACGTAGAGTTATCACATGACCCAGCAACTCTACTCCTAGGTATATATCCAAGAGAGTTGAAAATATATGTCCACACAAAAACGTACATATGTTTGTAGCAGCATTATTCATAGTAGCCAAAAAATGAAAACAACCCCTATGTCCATCAATGAAATATTAGTTGGCCATAAAAAGAAATGAGGCTCTTATGCATGCCGTACATGAAGTACTCAACGCAGATGAACCTTGAAAACATTACATTAAGTGAAAAAAGCTAGTCACAAAAGTCCACATATTGTATAATTCCATTTATATGAAATACCCAGAATAGGCAAACCTAAACAGAAAGTAGATCAGTTGCCTAGGGCTGGGGAGAAGTGGGAGGGGTAATGAGGAATGACTGCTAATAGGTACAAGATTTCTTTTGGGGTTAATGAAAATGTTCTGAATTTAGACTGTGAGGATGGTTGCAGAACCCTGTAAACTTGTAAAACCATTAAATCCCATACTTTAAGTTGGTGAATTTTATGGTATGTGAATTATATCTTAATAAAGGCTCTTAAAAAGAATCCTTCCTATGTGAGCATTGGCAAGTTAAGGAAGTACTAGGCTGGCTTAGGGCTATGAATTTAATTTTTAGAAAAAAAAAAAAAAAAAAAAATTACATTAGTAACATTCTTTTAAAATTATAACCATATTTATGACTGTGATAATTTACTCACACATGTTTATTTACTCTTTGGTTTATAAAGTAGAAGATATCTAGATATGGACATGAAGACATCTTTAAGTTTTTTACTAGTCACTTTTTCTGGATCATGTACAACTTGGACATGTGTTGCATTATATTAAAAAAAAAAAATTCCTACCCCTTAGTGTGATTTTTTTTCAGGCTTAAGGTCAGTGACAATAATCTGAATGGCTACATTAAGAATTTTCAGTTTTAGACAGTATAGACAGATATTCACAGACCCAAGGCAAAAATAAAAAACAATGGGAAAGTTCTCTTAGAATCAACAGAACCTAACCAGATGTGAAACCAAAGACAGGAGTTATGTACAGAATGAACACTGATAACTACATCTTCCCTAGATTCTAAGCCATTTCCAATTCCACAACAGAATGTATTGACTACCTGTATTTTTTTAAATTACCACGTAACTCTTACTTATAAAGTATTTTCTACTCATAACTCCAAGAGGAAACAACTGGCTTACCTTTAGCTTAAGTCACTTAAATTAAGTGAGGTACTTCATTTTAAGTTTACCAATGATTTCACAGCTACATAAATGTTAGAAAGTAATTTCAGAGAGCTTAAATCAGACCAATTTTTCCTTAAAAATTGGGGCTCTTATGTATGTATATTTGCATGCACACAAACCTCCATTCCAATCAAGCAGGGTATCTTCGTGATTCAAACCCCTCTAGCCTTACGCTCCCCTCAGTGTTTAACTCCCTCATATATACAGTATATGCTTTTAAAATGTCAGTCAATGATTTTAACTGTCAAAGATAAACCTTTCTTACAATATTTCTAAATAATGCTGCAAACACCATAAGAACATCTCAAAAAGTATTGGCAGAACAGAGGAAAGAGACAAGCTTTGGAAATATAGAACCTGAGCTCAAGTCCCAGCTCAATCAGAAGTGATCGAAACTCTATGCATCTTGGTTTCTTGTCTGTGCAATGGAGATGTTAATAAATACTTTGTTGCACTCTTATGAAGATTAAAAGTAATATATGAAAAGAATCTAGCACAAGGTCTGCCATAAGATTCTCTTATTATTTTGAAGACTTTAGCATTTGTCCTATCTGTTCAGCTGCCAAAAATATAATTCTAAAGTGAACTTCTGTGTAGTTTTCTGAAAACCAGATCAGCTCTACAGCTCAGGTGATTTCCTACGTCCTTAAGACCAATTTTTTTTGGTTAAAAAAGAAAATAATTTCCTTCAAATTTGCAAAGTAACCTGTCATAAACCTATTTGGTCCTAGTCTAAGTAGTTTTAAACCCTATAATAATGTACTTCTGACATGCATTTTAGGAATATCTGAGATAGTAAAGTCTCTATATTTGCAAGTCATCACCAGTTGCTCTCCCAAGTAGCTTAATTCTAAAATTCAATGATTTCAGAATCACTCAAATAGCATCTCTAGTTACATATCCACAATTCAATCATCGTTAAAGAACTGTTTTTCCATGAGTCTGAAAGATTTTGCAGAAGGAATTTGAATGTTTTCATTTTCCAGAGGTGTTGATTTGTATAAAACAGCCAAAGAGTAAAACTTGCTAAAACAAAAACAAAAACAAACTCTAAGTGACTAAATGTAGTTAAATGAACTGGTCGATTTGGAATATTTAAATGATATAAACAAAAAATGGTATTTAAATGTGTCCACAAAAGTGTGCCCGATTAGAAATCAGCATTTTATATTTTTTAATGGGTTTAACTTTTGGGAAAATTAATTTCATATTTTTCCTCTGCCTTCTTAAAAAGAGAAGTTATTTGTGATGAGGACTATCTACTAGCAGAGGCAAAAACAGGAGTCAATTAAAAATATACAGATAATGAACATATGTTACTTAATAACCTTGGAAAGGTACTATACAAGTTCTACAATACAGGTCATTGATGATTTCAGGAAACATATCTTTATTACGTATCTTTGTAGCATTCAAAAAAGAGACGATGGCAAAAGCTACAGCATGACCAATTTATAAAAGCCCAACTGGGTTCTATGAACTTCAAATCCCTTTCCTGCACAAAAGATAATGAGGAGAGAAATTTTCTGACACTTTTAATTGCACAGAGTCAAGTCTGCTATCACCTTCTCAATAAAGACTATCCTGACCACCCTTTTTACCATTTTGCAACTGCATCCTCTTCCTTTTTACTATTCTCTTCCCCCCTCCTATGACTCTTAGCACTTTCTAACATAATTAGTTATACTGTTTTTTTTTTATTCTACTTCCACTCTCAACACACACTAAAATTTAGGCTCCAAAAGGGTAGGGAATTTTTCTTTTGCTTTCTGATATATCTTGAATGCCCATAACAGCATGTAACAAATGGTAGGTGCTTAATAAATAATTATTGAATGAGTATACATCATAGATAAGAGCAACAAGCATACTAGTGTGCCATTTAAGAGACTGATTCTCCAGATCAGATTGAGAACATTCCTGAATAAAAGTTTAAACATCCACCATTTCAGATTACTCAGCTCACTTAAAGACCCTACCTGCCTGAGTGCGTTCCTATGGCCACCACTGTGCCACTTGGATGAAAATCTGCACAGTGTCCTGGTTCCTAGAAGAGAGACAGACAGCTGTTGGGGAGTACACAAGAAAGTCTCCCTAGATCTATGGGGATAGTGGCAAAAACGTATTTGAAAATAACTTCTCATATAAACATGGAATTCTGATCAACTTTATTGTAGCCAATGAGAAATACCACATGGATATGAGAGGAAAAAGAATTTCAGAGCATGAAGGGGATATGCTGGCAGAGTGATGAGGGAAAAGGACAGCCAGCTTGTGGCTAGGCAGTAGAACAATAATAAGGATAATAACAACAAACATTTGTACAGTTCTTTAGAGTCTGCAAAGAACTTGTATACACCTTTTAGGCTAGAAATGTGAACATCTGGGTGGGGGTAGGGAGAAAATACAGTTAAGAGACTACTCAAAAAGAAGATAGTAGAGTCTGTTAGTGAGCAGCATTTACTGAATCCAACTGCAACACCACCAGAGGCCCAAATATTTCCATTATGATTAATGCTCCATAAATATGTGAAATCTTTATAATTTTTATGACTAAAACTGACTTAAAAAATTGAGATTTTATCCTGCTAATCTCATTCTTTAAAGTGGGTTCATTTTATACTTTGAGACTAATATCCTCCCCTCTTAACCCCAGCCCCTTTACTAAACTGTATATTAACACTTGGTTTGAAACAATGCTTAGTCCTTTTTCCTTTGCTCCTCCTGACTGCCAGTGTGAGGTGTTTCTGTGGGGAGATTATTAATCACATCTTGTTTCACTCACATCTACGAGCCTGGTCCATTCCAGCCTGTGTTCCACTGAGTTCCACATGCACACCTGCCTGTCCTGAGCACATGTCAAGAGCAAATCTTTGAAGGGGTGTGTGGCAAGACCCCAAAGCTCATCTGTATGACCCTGAAAATGAAAGACACCCATTTTTATAAGAACCGAAGGGTATCATCAAAAATATTCAGTTAATAGTAACATAGTACAGCTTACCTGTACTTCTATTTGGAAGCCATCATTAAATGTTCCCCGTAAAATAAAGTTTCGTGATGTGCCTACTAAAAATTGATCTGCCTTTCCTTCTGCTACAGCTCTGATTGTGCCATACTGATCAGGAACCTATAAAAAATAAATTTGTAAAGTCACCATGTACACACTAACATGCATTAATTACTACTGGAAGACTGCATGTGTAGCTGTAAGCAGTAATGGGGTAATAAATGACAGAATTCCAAATTTGAAGACGATATGGTAGATTCATATCATAATTTATTTGTTCAATTACATTTTATTATACAGAAATTATAATGCATTATTATCAACATTCTTTGCTTTAGTTAATTTTAGTTTACACTTTATATGATTTCAAGAGTTCTTGAGGAGTACGTTCTATTAGATCATATGGGAGAGTGTGGTCTGGTTTTGTTACTTATCAGTTATGTCAGTTTGGGTAAGATGGTTAGCCTACAAACAATTTCTTTACCTGTAATATGCGGATAATAATTCATGCCCTACCTACTATTGCTTGTATGTGAAATTTCTTTGTAAATTAAAAAGCAATATATTATAAAGTATTATGACTGTCATTAATAGGACTCTTTAGGAGACCAGTTCATTTAAGGCACTACATGGTACATTCTCAGTGAGTGTTATAGTACAGTGATCTCAAAGAATGATTCTTTCTGAAATAATGCAATTCTCTCTCCTTTATGAAATGGGATCAAAAGTGTCTCCTGAAAACACAAATAATTGAGTTCTAAGAGTAATCCAAATTTATGTTAGAAATGGCAAAGGAAAGAGTGAATTAGATTGTGTAACTTTTGATTAAAAGCAACTCTTTATTATCTTTATTAAAATCCAAGAGCAGTACCATCAGGACCATCTTCTTTAGAGAAGATTTTGTCTGGAAAGCATGTTATGTGCAGAGAAAACACAGAGCATAAATTCAAAATTTAAATCACTATAAGTAGAAGCAATATTAAACTTTGTGAGATTTGCTCTTGCTTTAAAAATCATTGACTGAAATACCATTTCACTTCCTGAGACCTCAATTCAACTAGCAAACTTTCACCAAGTACATAAAACTTGTCAGGTTTTACGGATACACTTGGTCCATGCCATGAAGCAAACACACATACACAGGTAATGAGTGATTATCATTAAGGCCATTGTTTAAAAGATTATTTTCAAGTTTTAAAATTAAACTAGTTGTTTTCTATCCCCTGGACTTGGATATAGTATTCGATGAGTGTTTGGTGAATTTTCAGTTTGTATGATTATATAAAGGGAACTTCAAAAAGTGCATGAAAAGAGTCATATTATCTTGTAATTCTATTTTTTCACAAACTTTTTGAAGTACTCTTGTATTTTTGGATAACTAAAAAAGTCTCAGAAATAAGCAATAAACAATGTTAATTACTCGGCCTACTTTTTTTTTTTTTAACATTCTTTCAAATTAATTTTGTTTAATAAATGGTCCTTTTTTCTTGTTTTTTGAACAAAGTTATCCTAAAGGCAATAACAAATTCCTTTCTATGGGGAGGGAATAAATTATAAGAATGTGCACCAGTTTCCCAGAAAAGTGTTGTTATCTTAATGTAGGAAAAAATACGTCACTTTACAGAATTAAATATTTTTATATCTTTATGTTCTGTTTCCATCCTTACCTCTATTTCTCTTTCAGGATTCAGATCATGATCCCACAGAATTATTTTTCTGTCTTTCCCTCCTCCAGTTAATAACATCCCATTTCTCATCTGACAAAGTGTGAACACACTGCCATCATGAGCTTTGATTTGTTTGCTGATTTGATATACACCTGATATAATGAGGGAAAAATAAAAACACCAGTAATAACACTTTTCATCAGACTTTAGTGTCTTTTGGAAGAAAACTTTTGCAGAACTACAGAATGAATAATCAGAAAGTTCATATGATTCAATAATCAAAAACCTATTTTCAGCAAGTATTCTGTAAGGCAGGCAGTGAAGCTTAAGACTTCATACAATCTTGTGCTTTTATGTCAATATTTATTTACTCTGAAAATATTTCAAAATATTATCTTACAAAAGCAAGCAAAAGGAATGATGACAGTTCCACAGACAATAAAGGATATAGTATATATTAGCCTCAGAACTTTACCATCTCTTATAATCATCTTGTACAGTAGTTAGGGTAGGTATTACTCTTTTGATTTTAAAGCTGAGGGCAAAGTAGCTTAGCCAATACGACCTAGTTAGCTAATAACAAAGCCGAGACTAGAACTCAAGTCTCCTACCTCAGTGTTCCTTTAACTTTGCAAAAAACCTTCATTTCTTGTGGAGGTAACAGTCACAATCTTTAACAATTAACAACCACTTTTGACCTGGAGGCCTTCTGCTGTGCCAAGGATTATCCTTTATTTTCTGAGATACGGTGGACTGGGAAAGGTATTGGGGCAAAGGTGGGCACTAGAGGCTTTGGAGCACTGGCTTTTAATTTAACCAACTAGCAGAGAAGAATTTCAGTATTTTAAAAACTGGTCCAGCTGTACCACAGCTAAATGACAGCCCCGCTTTCTTGTATGCCCATAGCACTTTACTAAGTACCCAGAGAGGGACAAGGTAAGTATTTTAAGTAAAATCCATGTGGAGTAACTGATGATTTAAAAAAAAAAAAAATCAGATCCTTAAGGATGACGGTAAGATTATAGTACTTAAACCTTTTTTTTGGTATTTATGATGCCCTTACACAGACAGGCTCTTTAGCTAGCTAGTGAGACTGGTAAAGCAAGAGTAAAGTTCTTTGGAAGATAATGCCTTACTGAATTATTTACCAGGTTCAAAATGGGAAGGTAGAACCTTGTTTAAATATGGCCAAAGTCAGTCAATAAATAGCCCTTAGGTCCCTTGGAAAAATGAAAGATGAAAAATTTACAAGTTTTAAAATTGTTCATTTTCTAAAATTGTTCATTAACCGATGAATGAACAAAATGTGTTTTCTGCACAACAGAATATTACTCAGCCATAAAAAGGAATGAGGTACTGACAGATGCTACGTGGATGAACCTTGAAAGCATTATGCTAAGTGAAAGAAGCCAATCACAAAAGACCATATATTGTATGACTCCATCTAAAGAAATGTCCAGAATAGGCAAATCCACACAGAACAAAAGCAGATTAGGGGTTGCTAGGGACTGAGGGGAGGAATGGAAAATAACTGTTAATGGGTACAGGTTTCTCTGTGGGGTTATATAAATGTTCTGAAGTTAGATAGTGGTGATGGTTGCACAACTCTGTGAATATATTAAAAACCACTGAATTATACACTTTCAAAAAAATTTTATGGCATGAGTTATATCTCAATAAAGCTGTTATTGAGATTGTTCTTTTTTACCTATCCTCCTACTTGAGCTGCCATTATATTTTTTTAAAATTAAATAAAATTTGTGGGGCTTTGGTATCTTAAAAAAAAATCCAGCTACAGCTGACTCTAAAAATTACTCTGTCTCAGTGTGTGAGTGCTAGTGGTATAAATACTTAATAGATGGGTATATTTGACAGGGAGAATGGAAAGAGCTTGCCAGACTTGGAGGATAGCTTGCCTGATTCTGCAGAGCTTGGAGCAGTACCCCAACAAACTTGCTATTCAGGTCAACTGCTTCCACTCAAATCAACATTCATCACCTAAAAATACTTTAAACATTGAATGACACAACTATGTTCTGTGGGATAGCTAGACAATTAATTATCTATCACTACTCCCAACCAAGAGTGAAAGGACACCTGAGATATGTGAATGTTCAGAGAGTACTGCTGGTTTTATTTGGATACTTAAAAAAAAAAAAAGCAAATTTTGGGCTGATTTCCCCATGAATGGTCAAATGAACAAGAGTAATCTGCCAGAATGTAGGAAATGAAATAAAGTTTTTGTTCTTAATTCAGTCTTCCATACTTCTAAACTTGACAAAAACCTTGTTAAACACTTAGGATATTCTCCCAGAATGATGAAATGTTAGAAAACAGAAAATAAAACTAAAGAACAAATTCTTCATCAGGAATAAAAATACTCTCTATAGTGATCAACTCAGTGAAATCTGCACCCTCCTCCTCTTACTCTGGGAAAGTTATTTCCTGAGGAGGACCTAATATCAATTTAGCTAAAAAAGTTCAGTGCTTCAAATTAAACAAATTACCACAGTTTTCTTTATACAGTATTTACTTATAAAACAAATTTATAGCCAAATTTATGGGCCTGTATTTCTGACATTCTAGTTTAGGCCAAATAATGTTTGAAATACCTGTCAAAAAAAAAAAATTATCCTTGAATTAAAAAACCTACTCCACCTCCAGGCTTCATCATATGGCCAGGTCTATCAAAGTTTAATTGCAAATCTCATCCATTCTTCTTATCTCTAATAGAAAGTTTCTATAAAAAGCAAGTTTACCTTGCCTACCAAATAAAGGTGTTTGGAGGGCATTCTGTATCCATTTAACTATAGAATCAAATAGCAGCGAGACAAATTTAAGTTGTTTTCTTAGCAACTGGGCAAATGGGCCCAGTTAATTATTTGGAGAGCAGGTAAAATGGTAGTGTTTCTTAGTTCTTTAAAGGAACCTGACAAAGACTTAAGAATGATGAACATTTTAATGGCACTGTAGATACTCTCATCTTCTGCTACCCCACTTAAAAGATTACAAATTACTTCTTGTAAGAAAAAATTTGAACTATTTTATGTATGTAGGAAATAAATAACAAATACCTTATATTTATTTAAGAAATAGAAAATACTAATTACTTTGATGATTCCTGTTAATTTACCTTTAAGGAAAAAATGGTTTGGAAGCAAGAAGAAAAATATAGAGAGAGCTTACGGAGGCATAAAATACAGTTTCAATTTGTCTCCTATTTACCAGAGTAAAAGAATTAGCTATGAAATTATACTTTTGCCATCCAAAAAAGTCCTTTTATCAGACATGATATCACAGTATCCTCAAATTTTGGTTGGTAAGACTGCCACAGGGGCAGAAATGTCATACTTGGGAACATGTAAACTGTATTAATCTACTGAAATTTTTGAGCAAGAAGTAAAATGGAAACTTTGGGCATCTGTTCTGGTCTCGATGGCTTGCACATTTATTTTATTGCACTCACCAAATCCTTCCCAGCCACACTTACAAAACTGAAAACCCCAAATATAAAGAAACAAAATTCTTAGCAACTCTGCCCATTATAGGATCAGTCACGTAGCAGAGTACAACACAGGTCATTTCATGTGCCCAGCAATTTATAAGACTGGATTTCCTGTTTCCTGTTTGTACATATACAGATTTTCTCTAAGATGAGATTAAACCACAAGTTTTTCAAACAAAAACCAAAATAAAAACCCCTGAGCCTCTCCCTGCCCCCCATCATGAACCCAAATATTAAGGCTAATGAAGGGTACATTTATACCCAAACTCTGCTCAATGTTGGAGGATATATCAACAATTTAAAGGTCACCGTTTTGAAATACTATGCTGTTCCTAGCATTTCTGATATTGAATAAATGTGCCCAGGGAAGAGAAAAGAGAAAAAAGAAAAGGGGTAACAGGTGTGAGAGGTAGTTGATAAAACTGTCCTAACTTTCTTTTTTCTTAAGAATCTTCAACTCACTGTTATCCTTCTTGTATGTGAATTCTGAAATTAAACTGAATGAAAGAGGCTAGGGATGTATGGCTAATGACCGAGATCAAGGTCAACAGTAATACAATTTAAGGATTTTTTTTTTTTAACTTCTGAACAGGTCTAATTCAATTCAACTCCCACACTCAGAAATTCAGGTGAATGATTTTTTGAAAACATTATTTAAAATATTAATCTAGTACAGTCATCCCTTGGTATTCTTGTGGGATTGGTTCCAGGACCCACCTCCTCCCAAACCAAAATCCATAGATACTCAAGTCTGTTACATAAAATGGTGTAGAATTTGCATATAACCTATGCACATCCTCCTGTATACTTTAAATCACCTCTAGATTACCTACAAAACCTAACACAATGTAAATGCGATGTAAATAGTTGTTATACTGTAGTTTTTTATTGCTATTTTTTATTTTAATTAAAAAAAAAATATTTTCCAGGCCGGCCCGGTGGCGCACTGCTATAGTGCGCCGCGCTTGGGAGCGTGGTGGCGCTCCCGCCGAGGGTTCGGATCCCACATACAGACCGGTTCCCGCTCACTGGCTGAGCGAGGTGCGGGAGCAGCACCGAGGGTTGCGATCCCGTTGCCGGTCCCGGTCCGGTCCGGGCGCGACACTGAGGGTTGTGATCCGTTGCCGGACACGGAAAAAGACAAAAAGGAATAAAAGAAAAAAAATATTTTCCATGCATGCAAACTATTCATCTGACAAGGGATTAATATCCAGAATACACAAGAAACTTAAACAACTCAACAGCAAAATAGCAATCTGATTTTTAAATGGGCAAATATCCTTAATAAACATTTCTCAAAAGACATGTAAATGGCCAACAGGTATATGAAAATATGCTCAAATCACTAATCATCAGGGTAATGCAAATCAAAACCACAATAAGGTATCATCTCGCTCATCACACATTATATACATGTATAGAAATTAACTCTATACCCCATAATATGTACAATCAATGCATGTCAATTAAAAAATAAATAAAAAATCCACTCAATCATAGGACAATTATGTTAAATTCAAATTCCACATTTCAGTGAAAACAGTGCTTTAAAAATACCACTCAACTTTTACTCCTATGCTGATACCCAAAGGTAAGATTAAAATCTTTTCCTTAATAAAGTGTTTCACAAATAATTTTCAAACAGGTAGTACCAAATGCCTGACATTATGTGCTAGTCCTGGGAAAGTTTATTGGAGAAGACAGACATGTATACTGAGTCTTTCTGACTAGGGGAATGTTCCCTTATTCATAAATCACTTATGGTGATGCAAGGGCTCTAGAGAGAGAGGTATGGAGGAGATTGAGTGTGTTTAGGAGGAGGCAGATGAACAACAGGACTGCTCTGCCAATCGCCAGGGGAAATGTCTCAGAAATCTTAGGTTGATTCCCTATTTCAGCGTGTGTGTGTGCGTGCGCATGCGCGTGTGTTTGTGTGTGTGTGTATTCTCAGGCTCTGTGTGGCCTGGCTAGTTCTATTGCTATTTCTACTGCTACCATGTCTTGCTGCCAATAAGAATCTCTCTCCTCTCCTGGCCCACTGGTTTGGGAACCAGGTCTCCAATTTTCTCTTGGAACCTTCTACTTTGAAGGAAGTACATGGTAGTTTGGATATTTTTTAAAAGTTTTATTGTTCTTAAACAATAAGGAAAAATGGGGTTGAAAATAAGTTATTTTCGGGCCGGCCCGGTGGCGCACTGCTACAGTGTGCTGCTTGAGAGTGCGGCGGCGCTCCCGCCAAGGGTTCAGATCCCACATACAGACCGGTTCCCGCTCACTGGCTGAGCGAGGTGCGGGCGCGACACCGAGGGTTGCGATCCCGTTGCCGGTCCCGGTCCGGTACGGGCGCGACACTGAGGGTTGTGATCCGTTGCCGGACACGAAAAAAAAAAAAGAAAAGAAAATAAGTTATTTTCAATGCCCTTTCTCTAATTTTTTCATCTGTCATAGAAAAGAACAAAGTGGATCCATATATTTAGTTCCATTTGTACCTAAATATAAGAATAAAATATATCTGTATTTCTGAGAAAAGCTGGTTTGCAGTAAAGCTGAATAAATGCCATGGCCCATTACTGGGATTGAAAAGGGGACTACAGTGAGAAAAGAAAAAGGAAAAGAAGACTGAACTATGAGTTTACTCCTTTTTTTCTTCCCCTCCCCCATTTTATTACATGGCCAGGCATTCTGGCCTCACAGATATCCCAGAAACCGTCCAGGAAACAGTGAACCTTTATATATTTTAAAATTACCATATATTGATATCGTTCCTCTTTTACATTGACTTCCGAGAGGGAAAGGTGCAGTATAGTCAAATCTAGGTTATATGTGCCTAATAAATAATGGGATAAATAATCTCATTTAAAAAAAAAAAGAAGGTATGTTGGTGACTCATATTGTTCCACTGCAGCTTTTTCTCTCCTGATCTGGGTAGCAGATGGGATTGCAAAAGCACTACGTGAGAACTACAAGGAATGGGTTTAATATAAGAATACTGTACCTTTAGGTCCTTTTCCAGGTGAGGGCTCTACAGTAGCTTTGCTCCATATAAGCATGACTCCACCTGAGTCTCCAGTAAGAACATCTCCATTCCCCAAGAATGCTAAACACTGCACAAATTTTGGTTTTTCATATTTCTACAATGAAACAATGAGAATTTTCAGCTTTCCCTTTGACATGATGATTTTATGTTTACTCAACAATTTTTTAAAAAGTTATATATACCTAATGAAGTCATAACATTGTGATCCTTACCCCAAAAATTCCCTGTTTTCTTGTTAGTGAATTGCCACTCCAGGTCCAGAAAAAAATATGAGATTTACCACATGTTATTATGGTATTTGCATCGGTTGGGTGGAATTCCACAGCCAAAACAACTTCATTTGTTGTCTGTGAGAAGAGAAATAAAGCTTTAGATGAATGCATGTCCTTATTTCAATCAAGTATCAATTACAGCTACTGATGATCAAACACATGGAAGAATTTTGAGGAAATACCTTTTCTTCCAAGATCTATTTTCCTAAAACATTTATATTATATCACTTTTATGCTATTTATATTAAAATTTTGCACTAGGAAGACATTTATATGAATTATAGCTTTAGATTATTTTAACTTCTTGCACATTCGGAAAAAGTTTACTAAAACTATCAAATGCACTAGCAATGTACATTGTCTCAAAGACACTGCCATTTTGACAAAAAAACAATCTTATCTTTCTTTGTATTATTATTATTATTGAGCACTTATTCTTCAACAAAATATTGCTAATTTAGAGATTGTCCTCTCAGGTCGAAGCATTAAAAAGTAGATTTAGAATGGTCACTACTGATCCCTGTAGAAATAAAAATAAAAACAAAACATAACAAAAAATCGAAGGAGCTTTTGTGCTCTCTTTCCTCAAAAAACCTAGGAAAGAGAGAAATTTAAAAGATTTGTAGTGAAAAAGGAAGAAAACAGGCATAAGAATGACAAAGGAACTGCAAGTATGGATAGCTCTTTCATCGAAATGATTTCAACTGAGGATATTATTTCTAAAATAATGTATTTCTATAATTTCAATAAATCATAATTGAATTCTTACTAAATTTATATTTTATGGTAAAATCACCTAATCAAACTTAACAGTGAGGTGAAAACTGCATGCCTATAAGCTGTTTATTGTTGGTGTTTACTTGTAAGGTGATCATTAATGTCCATTTTTTAACACAGCGAAGAACTTTATGTATATGGAAGCATTTCCTGTTTGCAAACCAACATGGTAATCTTATGAACAAACTGAGTTTAAAGATAATAAATTTTATGTTTCTATACTAATAAAATGACACTTAAAATCTTATACTAATAAAATTTTTTTTCTTATAGTTCCAATATTTCCACAAGTTTTACATTTCTATTGCTAACATTTGGGCTCAAGGGCCTTTGCATAAGCACATAAATAAAACCCAACCAATGAAATCTAATGTGAATGCTTTTTCTCCTTAACTAGAATTCAGGTTATAAGAAGAAGGAAAAGCACAACATCTTCTGCTTGTTAAATAATTCTCCACAGTGATTAGTATGGAAATACAGTATACATATTTACCAGGTCTGAGTAAATTTTAAAGATAATGTGTTAATCCCAAAGCAAAAATCAGTCATCTCTCCTCCAGGATGATGCTATCTTTTAAAGACTTAACAGTCCTTAGTTTTTACCTTGACAAAATAAAAATTACTTGACAGTTGGTTGAACCTTATGCCAAATCCATTCATGACTTATGAAACTAACTATAAATATTCCCAGTATACAAACCCATGGTACTAGTGACAAGATAGTCAAGACATAAACTGAAGTAATCTATGAAATTAAGTCACTTTGTGTGTGTGTTGCCTTATAGGATATTTTATTTCAATTTTTTATTGATGTATTATTTATATACATGTATTTTTTATACACTGATGTATTTTGATGTATTGATGTATTTTATATAATTATACACATACACATAGATATAAAAGCTCACAAATCCTAAATACATAGCTCAACAAATTTTCACAAATCGAACACACCTCTTTATAGCATCCAGATCAAGAAACAGAACATTACTAACGTGCCAGAAACACCTCAGATCCGCTTTCCAGCAACTTATTCCCTTGCCCTGCTCAAATATCCCTTATCCTGACCTTTAGAAGTACAGATTAGCTTTGTATGTTTTATTTAAATGGAATTGAGTAAGGATACATTGAATCCTTACTCAATGTATCCTTCATGTCTGGTTTATTTTCTCAACTTTTGTGAGATCCATCCATGTTGGTGCATATAGTTGTAATTTGTTCATTCTAATTGCTATACATAGTATTCCTTTGTATGAAAAGACCACATTATTGGTTTATCCATATTGATGACAATAGGACTTAGATAAGTTACCATCTTTTTGACTACCATAAATAACACTGCTATTGTCTTCTAGCAAACACACGTATATATTTCTGTTGGGTTTATACCTAGGATAGGAACAGGATGGGTCAGAGGGTACACATATGTTCAATATTAGTAGGTAATGCCAAACAGTTTTCCAAAATGGCTGTACCAATTTATATGCCTGGCGGCAGTGTATGAGTGTTTTAGTTAGTTTACATCCTCACCAACCCTGATATTTTTGTCTTTTTCACATAAGCTATTTTGGTAGGTGCATAGTGGTATCTCACTGTGGTTTTAATTTGAATTTTCTTGATAACTAATGAGCCTGAGCACCTTTTCATATGCCTATTAATCACTTGGACACCCTATTATGTGAAGTCTTGCCATTTTAAAAAATTGGATTGTCTTTTTCATTGAAGTATAGAAATTCTTTATGTATTCTGAACATGAGAGCTTTGTTGGAAATATGTATTGCACATATTTCCTCACACTCTTAATGGCGTCTTCTGATGAAGAGAAGTTCTTAATATAATTTATAATTTTTCCCATTTATAGTTAATACTTTATGTCTTGCTTAAGAAATCTGATTATAAAGGTGCTCTCCTATATTTTCTTCTAAAAGCTTTATTGTTATTACCTTTCCTGCTCAGATCCACAGTCCACCTAAAACTAGCTTTTATGAATGCTTTCAATTAAGTTAGCTTTAGTTGTTTGCAGTCACTTTTACTGGAAAGAGTTATAATGCAGACATTTAGGATACAGATTTTAGAGAACTTGCTGACTACTTGAATGTGAGAAGTGAAGGAAAAGGAGTGATAGATGATGCCCAAGTTTCTAGCTTCAGCAGAGAGGTGAAAAGTGGTGTCAATCATTGAGAAGTGAAAGTGATTGGGGGCTAGGGAGATGATTAGTACAGATCGGAACTTGTTGATTTTGACCTGTGGTAGAGGATATTCAAATAAAGATATCTAGTTGGCAACTAGAAATATGGGTTTAAACCTGTGAGAGATCTGGGCTGGAGATAACTGATGTGAGACTCAGCAGACAGACCGTAATCAAGGCTATGTGAGCAGTACATGACATCAGTGGAAGATCAGGAACAGAACTCTGAGGAACACCAACATTTAAGGTCCCGGAAAGGAGACTGAGGAGTAACCAGTAGGAGGAAAACCACAAGACTTCATCTGGTAGCCCTTACTACAAAGGATCAAAATCCACATATCTCACTTTGGTGCAACTTCCCTACTGTTCAACATTTTTTTAAAGTTTTAGGTTTTCTCACAGCTTATATTCCTTTCAACTACAATTAAATCTACTCTAGTTTTTTTGAAAGATTAACTTAACACTTGAAAACACAAGAAATAACCTCTTTTTGACCAACAAGCTGAAAACATGAAGCTTATGCAAAACAAAACTGCTAAATGAAAGAGGAGTTGAAGGGGAATGTAATGTTATTTAAAAGCATAGCAAATTTGTTATAGGCTTTTGTAATGCTATTCTGTCACTGTGAATATCTTTGAAAGCCTGTCAGAGGGAAAAGGCCATTTCTGACCCATATAAATGCAGCTGCAACGCTAATGTTACATTCTTCTCTTGCTAGTTATAGCACGATTCACACAAAGGATCAACACTATTCTACAGCAATTATAAATGCTATAGCATTTTCTATCATAATCCTACAAACACAATTAAGACCAATAAATTTATTATATATTCCCTTCAGTTATGTCAGCCATATTCCTAAGGTTGAATTTTTTCCTCTAGATTTCTAAAGTTTTAAAGATTGAATGGAATGATGTATTTCATTAAAGAAACAGCAGCCAAGTAGAGTGGTCATTCTTAATTTTGAAGATGGACAATCTACTTTGGCATTTTAGAAGCATAATGTATGAAATGCTGAAATTGCTTCAAGTTCCTGACTATTTTATCTTTTATAACTGTAGTGTTAATACCATAAGAATTATGACAAATCAATAAATCTGATGAATTTGGCCAGTGGGCAACTTAAGGATATGCGATGTGGTTCCAAATACCCGCAAAACAAATAACATACTCTATAATACTCGATTAAAAACTTTTTTGATTTACCTTTATTTCTGCTCCTTTTGATTTTTTCTGCCAGTCCCATACAGTAAGCATATGTTCATTGGAGTCATCAATAACACATAAATGAATACCTGAATCCTAAAGAAAAGTCAATTAAAGGCATTTTAAAATTCCTGGATTAGGCTGACTTTCTAAGAAATATCATATTATTAAAACTGCCAACAGTAAAATTATCCGAAATCCTTTAAACTCATTGTTCTTTGAAACATAACGGATGTACTTTTTACTAAAACTGTATTTTCTTCAGAAATATATATAAGGATTCTTTTTAAAAAATATTTTCTATTTTCAATTTATTCACCTGGGTTGATTTCTACTAACCATCTAGCCACTTCTATTATTCAGAGATAGCGAATAATTCATTTTGAGGATATCCTACTCCCTTTGGCATTTTATGCTTCCTTCTTGAAGCCTGTATTCAAGGTATTTTCCCTAGAGGTGGGCGGGAAGAGACACACATAATTTCACTTCTGACTAAATTTTGATAGACTGATGGAATAAGCTAAAATTAATGATTATTTTTAAGTCTGCTGATTTCAGTTTTTTGTGATATACCTGACTTACATTAACATGAGTTAACAAGATAAAAATATAACTAAATTGCTATCTACTTTTCTAAAACCATTTCCATGCATATAATTTGGACCTCCAAGTTTAAGAAACAGAGCTATTGATGATATCAGCAATTTTTTTTCTAGTAGCATTTATGGTATATGCCCTAGAATGTCCATGGAACAGAGAAAAATTGTAGCGAAGAGAGGTACTGAGGAAGGGCAGTGCTTACTCTTTTCTCTTTATCTTGCTCTTTGCTTATATTAAAATGATTATTTGAACTAGGAAAAGTCACAGTATTAAAGTTAGAGCAATTCAAAATAGTCTTAATACAGTAACAATGGTATCAACAACATAACAACAGTTCTTGCTATAGAGATTTTAGGGAAAAACAGTAGTAAAAGTATTTCCTTTCTGTCCTCTTATCTCCTTTTCTAAATGACTTTCTCCCAATTCCTGATTCCTAAATTCACTCAAATTTTTCTTTCTGCCCTAAAAGTGTCCCTTCCTTCATATCCCACAAAACTCTCATAAGCCAGATAATATGAATATATATTACACTCTAAAACATAAATGAGGTCCAATAAAATCTAGAAAGGTATCTGAATTTGAAATAAAAAGATAAATCATAAAATGTGGAAGGTCTCCTGCATACTTTATATAATCATCATTAAATACAATTCAAGAAAAATTGAACAAGTAACATCTTATCTTATTTCCCCCTCAGAATAAAGCCTCAAGGCTTAGATAAGATTACTAGATACAAAATTTTAAACCTATGTTGTCATCAATTCAGAACCAAGATAATTCATAATTTTATTGTTTCCTTTGCTCCAATATGACACCAAGAAAAACCAATATTTGTGCAGAAGTGGCCAAGTTTCATGTCTGTGAATTTTCTAAATCAAATAGATCTCTTCTATGATTCAAGCTAAAGCTAAAGTACATCCTATCACTTGTTTCAAATTGTATTATGGTATGTATGTATTCCTCACTATTTCCCGCTACTACATGGTAATCCTACCTCAGGATAGAACAAAATTAAGTATAATATCTTGGATTTTACCTAAGCCAATGTAGTTCAGTACACAGGTTAAAATGCTAGCCATTTATCAATAGCTAATATTAGCAATAACTAACATCTCATTTTTTCAATTAGGAGTTATTACTTTCTGTGGACACATACACACAAAACTGAGCTTAATTTCTTTTCTGCTTCTTTGTTCAACCTTTAAAAACTGTTACTTACTGCTTTTGAAAAATTCAGGCATCCTACTCCACGCTCAAAAGTTCCAAGTCCAATAATTTGCAGTGTGGACAGACTAACTGAATCCCATACTCTGACATGCGGTTGCAAAGGCTGCAAAACACAAGACAGCAGGACTAACTGGTAATCAAGTGGATGCAAATAAATACCACTAACACACAGAACTGTCATTAAAAAGTAATAGGAATGGAGACACAACTAATAAAAAATAGCTGCTAGATTTAGACATGCCCTCAAAGAATATTTAGGTATTTTCTTTTCATGCCATGAAAATAAGGAAACAAGTGATAATAACAGTAGCAGCAAATAATAAGTATTTATTATGTGCCACATACTATTGTAAGTATATCACATGTATTAATTCATTAATCCTCATGATCCATGAGCTATAGGTACTATTATAATTACCATTTAACAGATGAGAAAACCAAGATACAGAGATTTAAATAACTTGCCCAAAGTTACATAATTATAAAAAGGTAGAATCAGAATTCTAACCCAGGCAAATCTGCTCTGGATACTTTGCTTTTAGCATTACCTTCTATTATGGATTGAATTGTCCGCCCCCCCCCCCAAGTTTAATGTGTTAGAGGCTTAATCCCCACTTTGATAATATTAAGAGGATGGGAAGTCTTATTATGGTAATTCAAAGATGGGACCTTGAAGAGGTGATTGGATTGTGAGGACTGTACTCTCATGAATGGATTGATCCATTCTTGGAATAATGAGAATGTTTCTGGTAGCTTTAAAAGGAGAGTGAACAAGGTTAGTCTCTCTCTCTCTCTCTCTCTCTGCTCTGCCATTCTGCCGTGTGAGATCCCTGGGTCACTGTCACCATCAACAAGGCGTTCACCAGATGTGTTCCCTGGACTTTGGACTTCCCAGCCTCCAAAACTATAAGCAATAAATTTCATTTTCTTACAAAGTACCTAGTTACAGGTATTTTGTTATAAGCAACAGAAACAGACTAATATACCTTCATTCCCAGAAAAAAAATTTTTAAAAAATCAGTACTTAATAAATTGCTAAGCAAACAGTCCTTAAACAGAATTTGAAACTGAAAGGGATCTTAGAAGTNGGAGCGCCGCCGCACTTCCCAAGCGGCGCACTATCCAGTGCGCCACCGGGCCGGCCCCATCAAACAAATAGTTTTTAATCATAAAAAAAACTCACCTTTACCTATCGATTTTATTTTCTTTGGCAAATCAAAGAAACATCAATTATCTGGAGATTTCTAAGTTTTCACCTGTACTTTTTCTTTCTTTGTTAAGCTGAACAAATTAATGGAACACTAAGTTCAAAGAAAACATTTATTCACAACTGGCATGCTAACAAATTAAACTGTTTTCAATTGTTCAAGTTCCTTTTTAGTTCATGCACATACATATTCACATGGTTTTATTACAGTGGAGACGCAATATTCCACTGAGTAATTTTAATTAAAATATAAGCTCCATTTTGCTACATAATTCTTATACATATTACTGATTTAACAGCTCTTCCATCTTTTAGGCCGTTTCTACTTTTCTACAAAAGAAAACACCTTCATACAAAGTGACTTCAACCTTTTAATTCATTCTTAATGCTAAACACTTGGTAAGTCAAACTTGGGACAAGGAATTTTTAAANAATAAATTGCTAAGCAAACAGTCCTTAAACAGAATTTGAAACTGAAAGGGATCTTAGAAGTCATCCAATATAAACCTCTTCTCCTTTTCTTTAAGAAAGAAAAAGTTAAAGCCAGAGAATATCATGATCACAGTCATACATATGCTAATCAGTCATCATTAACATTCACTTTTGATCCTTAGAAAGAAGGAATTTGTTATGTAAACCAATTTAATAATACCGAATAGTAACAGAAACTCTTTAAGTGGTATCAGTTCTAGTTACAAATAAAATCAAGAGGTCCATTATTCTAGTTAAAGAAAAATGTTACAAGCATATCAGTCCTCCCATTTCTACAATAGTTTTCTTAGGGAGAACACATTTTTTAGAAAAAAAATATTTAAGTAGTGTATTCTCTTTTGCTTTTTGAAATGTTCTTACATTCTAATGTCCCCCCCCACCCTATACTAAAAATTTAGCATTTAAATTGTAAAAGACTAAAATAAATGAGCTGTGGTTAAAATTACAATCAATTCCATTCTAATAGCAATATCACTAGGTACAGAATGCATAAAACTGTGCCACTCACCCTTCCATCTTTATCTACTCCAGCTATCTGTCCAGTTGCAATCCTTATTTTGTCAGGATGT